TTTATTTTATTTTATTTTATTTTATTCACATATTTTATGTTTTGTCTTGCACTCCTTCCCACGAATTGTAAGCCGCCCTGAGTCCCCTCAGGGAAAAGGGCGGCCTATAAATGACAAATAAAACTAAAAACTAAAAACTAAACTAAAGGACTAAGTTACTCCATTTCCTCCAAAAACAGTGACTATCCCTTAAACATGAGCCAGCCGTGTGCGGCAGAAGCCCAAAAAGCAAATATGATCCTGGGTTGCATAAACAGAGACATAGAATCAAGAGCACATGGAGTCTTTAGTACCGCTTTACAAAGCCTTTAGTAAGGCCACACCTGGAATCCTGCACCCAGTTTTGGTCACCAAATTACAAAAAAGATGTTGAGACTTTGGATAAAGTTCAGAGAAGAGCAACTAAGAATCTATTCCTATTCCATATGTAAAGGATTCTCTAAACCTGGCAACTTTTAAGACTTGTGGACTTCAAATCCCAGAATTCTTCCGCCAGCCATGACAACAGGGAACTCTGGGAGTTGAACCCCAACAAGTTGCCAAGATGGGAGAGCCCTGATCTAGACCTCAAGGTTACCAAAAAAAAAGGAGGGGGGGAATCCATCGCAAGCCATTTCAGTGACCCCAGAATCTTGGCCTCCCCCTCCAAAAATAACCACAACGGCAAGGCATTGACCGTCTCAAGGCTTTGGAAAAATGGTTGCTGGATCGATCCCCCAATAGGCTTACTAGGGCCTCGAAGGAGGCAACAATCTTTTCTAACACGTCCCAGCCACGTTCTCTGAGAATTGGTGAAAAGTGAAAAAAAGTCAAAACGGCGGTTGCGGAATCGAAGCCCTGGGGCCGAACTACTCACCGTCTCCGTTCTCATCGTACTCATCGTCCAGCCCGTCGGCTTCTGGGTCCGAGTCAGGGGCTTCTTTGTCGCTGGAGTCGAACCCATCAAGATAAATCAGCTGAGGCAGGAGGGTGAAGATGCTCTCGCGGTAGTTGTTTAGCGTCGTCACTTCGCAGTTGAAGAGGTCGAGGTTCCGCAGGTGGGGAAGCTTTTTCTGCAGCGTAAGGGGGAGAAAGTGGCCCGGTTCAGGGTGTGTGTGTGCTCCCCCCCCCGCCTCCACTCCAGGCACAGAGCAGCTACATCCCTCCCCTGGACCAAATGTGCACTCAACAAACTGACGGGCATTGTTGCAAATTGTAAGTCAAGGAGTACCTGTAGAACAGGGTGTCAAATTCGTGGCATCATGTGATGTATCACGACTTTCACCCCTGCGCTAAACTGGGCATGGGCGTGGCCAGTGCATAACGCATCCGGACCGCAAGTTTAACAGCCTTGCTGTAGAAGGTGGCCAGATTGTGGGAGGTGGCGGTGTGTCATTAAGTTGAGAACTACAGGCGGCTTCCTGTTTTCATTTTGTGCGTCTTTACACAACACACACAGGCGAAAACTCTCGCTCGCAACTCAGTGTCGCCAGACCATCAACTCACCAGAGGGTCCAACGTGCTGATCTCTTTGATTTTATTCCCGCTGAGGTTCAACTGCGTCAAATTTGGCGTTTTTTCTGCGAGGACTTCCAGACCGCCCGAAATACGATTGTCGCTCAGTTCCAGCTGCCGAAAAGAAAATAATAAACGGCGGCTCCAGAGACAATACACTACCTAATCCTTCTGTGTGGATTATGCAACCTGGCCATTCCCCCCCCCCAAGAATGCCCCACGACCCTCCCCACTGCAACCCTTCTGGAGTTGAATTGGAGCCCCTTCACTTAGAGAAACAGAAAAGGGCAAACAGGGAAACTGGAGGCAGCATTTTCAACCCACACCCTCTTTTGTAGATTTATCACGCAACTCTGCTAATCCTTCAACCCTCCCAGATTCTGGGCTCTGGGCCGTTAAGAATCACACTTTTAAAACCATGGCTTCAAATTTCAGATGACTAAGAAAAACAAGGACATTTCCATGGTACAAAAATGCCACCAGCCAAACAGGATGGGACCAAAAGGAGAGGCAGGTTTGAAGCTAGCCTCAGCAAGAGGCACCCCCCCTCCAAAGGAGAATACTGCCCCCCCACCCGAAAGCTGGGCAGGTATGGAAAGCAAATAGATAAAATAAATGAAATAAAACAAAATATAAAAAGTAAAAATATATTATGAACGAAATAAAATAGAAAATATATAATACATAACATCAAATATAAAAAGTAAAAAATGTAACTAAATAAATATTTAAAAAATATAAATATAAAAATACAAAAAATAAAATATATAATAAATAAAATTTAAAAAGTAAAAATGTAGAATAAACTAAAAATAAAATAATATATAAAAGGAAAAAATGAATATATGAAGAGAAATAAAATATATCATAAATTAAAAAACATAAAATGGAGGGGGGATGGGAAAGACAAAGACAGCAGAGGTAAACAGAAAATCAGGCAGAGGACACCTGTGGGTGACGGAGAGGTCAGAAAAGTCAAAATGGGGGCTGCAACCATCCAGCTGAATCCCCCCCCCCGGGGGGGGGGTCTTGCAAAAGGAGTGATCGAGAGCAGCGTTTTCCCAATCTTGGGCGACTTTTAGAGGTGTGGACTACAACTCCCAGAATTCCCCAGCCCGCTCAGATCCGGCTCAACTCACAACACACACAGCCAATCCTGCCGGCCTTGCCCCCAGGTGCTCACCTTCCGGAGTTTGCTAAGCTTGGGCAGGTTAGAGATGGAGAGAAGGCGGACGTTGATCATGCTCAGTAATTCCAGGTTTTCGAAGTCTGGGGAGAGCCCGCTGATCTTGCCATCTTCCGAGCAGCAGTTGTCCAGCACCAGCTCCTTCACCTAGGAAAACCAGACACAACCATGACGCTCTTCAAAGTCCGGCGGCCGGAATTCCACCGGGCACAGCTAGGGGATTCTGGGGGATGTGGTCTGATCCAGGGGAGTCATCAACCTTTCGGATCTCAGGGACCACTAAATTCATAATTTTAAATCCCGCGGACCACTAATATTTTTCACACTTATGACCGTTGTAGCATCTCCAGTCATGTGATCAAAATTCAGACGCTTGGCAAAACAAATGAAACAAGCTGATGAGACAACACAAGCCATAGGGATTGATGACATAAGCCAAGGGGAGAATAATTTTGGGCTCCATTATGGTCAGGTCATAAGTTAAGGATTAACTGTACAGGCAGTACTTGGCTAACAATCCCTCATTTAGTAACCACACGGCGGCACTGAAAAAAAGGGAGTAGTTATGGAAGCACCCCCATGGCCACGCAATCGAAATTCAGGCCTTTGGCACAACAGGTGTGTGCCCCAGGGTCANTAGATAGATAGATGATAGATAAGATGGTAGGTAGGTAGGTAGGTAGATAGATAGATAGATAGATGATAGGTAGATAGGAAGATAGATGATAGATAGATTAGGTAGGTAGGTAGGTAGGTAGATGATGGATGGGTAGATGATGGACAAACGAAAGGACAGACAGACATAGACAGACATTGAAAGAGAGCTAGATAGATATGTAGATACCGGTAGATAGATCAGATAGAAGACAGACAGATATTGAGTTAGATATGGAAATAGATCTGGAGATAGACACAGATGGACAGACAGATGATATAGATATGGATAAAAATGCCAATAAATGATAAAGATAGACATAAAGATGGACATATCGAGGCAGATGATAATAAAATGCTGGGAATCACCAACAAATTTCACTAGTAAATCCATGGGTGCTTCTGAGCTGCCCAACAAGAAAGCCTGCAAATAAATCAACAGGGAGCCTCTGCACACATACCAACACAAAGACAAGACAACCACAAAGATGGGCAGGAGGCAGGTCAAGACAGACAAGGGCTGGTCTAAGTGTCCTCAAGGGAGCTCCTTTGGTGTGGTTGCAATGCAGGCTGCAGAAAGAGGCAGTGAGCCTGGCCTCCCCCCCCCCCCTTGGCCGCTGGCCCTCTTTTCCCATGGGAAGTGGGGCAGAGGGCTGGGGGGAGAGGAAGAGCCAGGGGAGTCCCAGCAAATCAAGCTAAAAGGTGGAAAAAGCCACAATTGGGTTGTTGGTTTGTCAACCTTGACACTTTTAAGATGGGTGGACTTCAAGTCCCAGAATTCCCCAGCCGGCATGGCCGGCTGGGGAATTCTGGGACTTGAAGTCCACCCATCTTAAAGCGGCCAAGGTTGAGACACACTGCAACTCTCGCGAGAAAAGGAGGCTTTCTCCATATCCAATAGCGCCACCGCGTGACATCACGGAATACAACCCCAGCAGCCGCGGGCCGTCATTGGCTGGGATGGGCGTCCATCTTGCCCTGGTGGGTGGGCATGACGGAGCTGAGGCGAAAAGCGATATTTCTACCCGGGTCGGGGGGGGGGGGGGGGGAATCCTGTCGTCTTCTTCTTCTTCTGTTGCTAATTAAAACGATTCCCGGTACTAACTTTAAGAAACTTTAAGCTAAAATGACTCCCTCATATACATAGACGCGGGGGGGAAGCGGCCAAGCCTTGGAGCCGCCTTCCCGCCCTTTTCGATTTAATTTTCGCGGCACCGGAAATCCCGCCCTCGACCGTTGTTTTGTTCGCTGCCTTTCCTGGAGTGGCAGGAACGCTCGGGCCGCTCTAGGCTCCCCTCTTGTTTATTAACGGATTTTAACGGAATAATAAAGAGTTGGAAGGGCCGCTGGAGGACTTCTAGGCCAGCGGAGGCCTACCTTAAAGGCCCGGCGTCCCAACGAAGCGGAGACCGGCGTAACAAAGCAAGGAGCTCGAACGGTGGGGAAGAGGCAGCATGGAGGAAGCCAAGCGGTGACGCCTGGCCCGGAGGGAGCGGCTGGAGGCCGCGGCTGAGCAACGGAGGAGCCGACCGGCAGCTCGAGAGGCCCTGGATGAACTGCTGAGGGGAGCAACGGCTGGAGACAACAGGGCGGAGCGGCCCAGCCCAGAGAAACCGCCTAGTAGACCTGCTTAACACAGAGAGAGGGTTTAAGAGCTGCCCTCAAAACTAAAACCTGTGTAATAATTGTGCCCACAGTGTAACAGACACCCCAGCNAGAGTCAGGAACATAGAAACACCATGAGGTAAATCTAAATGGTGTACAGAACACATAGAAGAAAAAGGCGGGAAAACAGGGAAACTCCTCCTTTTTCACCCACAGCAACCAATCATAGCACAGATTGCCTCATGCAGGAGCAGACTAGAGAGTCAGGAACATAGAAATACCATGAGGTAAATCTAAATGGTGTACAGAACACATAGAAGAAAAAGGCGGGAAAGAAGAAAACTCCCTTTACACCCAAAGCAACCAATCACAACATAGATGAGCAGACAAGATAATCAGGAACACAGGAACATCATGAGGTAAATCAAAAAGTATACAGAGCACACAAAAGAAAAAGAAGGGAAAACAGGGAAGCTCCTCCTTTTCTCCCACAGCAACCAATCATAGCGCAAGATTGCCTCATGGATGAGCAGACTAGATAAGTCAGAAACACAGGAACATCATGAGATAAATCTAAATTGTACACACAGAAGGAAACAGAACACACAGAAGAAAAAGGCGGGGGAAAAGGGAAACGCTCTCTATACCCACAGCAACCAATCACAACATAAACAGACAAGGTAGTCAGGAACACCATGAGGTAAATCTAAATGGTATACAGAACACACAGAAGAAAAAGGCGGGAAGAAAAGGGACACTCCCCCTTTATACCCACAGCAACCAATCATACCGCAGATTGCCTCACCCAAGTGTCAGCACTCTCTAAGTAATCAACTGCAACTGTGTGTTCTGAGCCACTGTACACTTAAATTAAATAGGCTAAGCAGATGAAGAGGAGCCACCTCATGGAGTAGCCTCGGACAAGCCTTTGAAGAAGGAGCTAAGAGTGAAGCCTAGCCTGCAGGCTTGTTGTGAGGCCGTTGCTGAGACAAACAATCGGCTCTCAACTGCGGCTGCCTTTGCAAAGGAAGTTGACGTCCTTTCTGGAAAGCAGGAAGAAAAAAGAAGTTTCAAAAGACCAGCCCTTCTTTCTGCAGCCGTGCCGCAAACATTGTGGAGTGCACAGATAGCAATCCAAAAACACCACGCCTACATGCTACGACCGCAAGTAGTTCTCGACTTACAACCATGTGTGACCATTTGAAGTTATACCAAGCCCAGAGAGACTTGTGACTATTTTCACACTTATGACCACTGCTGCATTCAGACCACCACGTGATCAAAATTCAGGCATGCGGCAGCTGGTTCATATTTATGACCGATGCAATGTCTCGGAGTTCTGCAATCTCCTTGTGACCTTCTTGACAAGCAAAATCAATGGGGAAGCCAGATTCACTGAACCATGTTATTAACACAAAAACTGCAGTGACTCATTTAATGACTGTGGCAAGAATGGTCATAAAATGGGGCAAAACGCACTTAATAACCGTCTCGCTTAAGCGAACAGAAATTCTGGGCTCAATTGTGGTTATAAGTCAGGGAATACTTCTTGGACAAAGCAAAAAACAGGAATAAATCCGTAACCGTGCTGCGTGTGAAGCCAGGAAAACAGGATCGCCCCAGGCAGACCCAGACTCAAAGGCAGACCAAGGGGGCACACCAGAGTTAAGAAGGCAAGGTTTCCAGTTCTGCCCCGTTGACAATCCCTTTGATTCATCAATATTCGGAGGAACCATGAGGACTAGAATCTTGCTTCTTTGAACACTTCAGCTGCAATGCACCACTATAAGTCCCCGCGTCCCAGCGCAGAGGCTGGGAAAGGCTTGCTTACATACACCCACGCCCTGCCAGCAACCGGCTTTTCAAGCTGCCTGACCCGGAGGCCTCGGGACTGGCTCCACGCAGGCCGTCTTCCTGAAAGTGCCCGAGCTTGGCGCTGCTCGGAGCAGCTGCGTGGCACAAGCCCAGCCTGATCTCATGAGTCTGGCAGCACAGCAGCAATGCAGCCCAACCGGCCACGCCAGCAACTGCATTCTTTTGCCGCGCCTGACCCTGCAGTTTCTCCCCTCTGCGCAGGCCGAGGCAGGATAATGCTCACCGGGATGCGTGCACGGATGGATGCCAGAAAGGGAGGAGGGGTGGGCCACATGCCCAGCGGGGCTGGACGGGCTCTCCACAGGAGCTGGCCAACCGTACAAAGAATGGGGGGAAGAGTCTCATGATCGGACAAGCAAGTGGATTTGATTCCTGGGGAATAATCAGTTTTGATCCACCCTCCATTTAGGGGCAATGCAAGGCATGAAAACATCAAAACTCACAGCAATATCCTAGGACAGTGTTTCTCAACCGTGGCAACTTGAAGATGTCTGTACTTCAAGTCCCAGAATTCCCCAGCCAGCAAATGCTGGCTGGGGAATTCTGGGAGTTGAAGTACAGACATCTTCAAGTTGCCACGGTTGAGAAACACTGTCCTAGAAGGACAAACACACACCAGAAGCCCTCGACTCACAACAGTTGATTTAGCGATTGAAGTTACAACGGAANCAGAATTCCCCAGCCAGCATTCGCTGGCTGGGGAATTCTGGGAGTTGAAGTCCAGACATCTTCAAGTTGCCAAGGTTGAGAAACACTGTTCTAGAAGACCTTCAAGGTCCCTTCCAAACGTATCTTCTGCGGAGTTCCGCAGTTGAAAGAGGGACCATCCCAGCCCCGCTTACAGCCGGAGGACTTCCTGGTGGTATCCCTTCCAAAAAGGACCCCCCAAGAGCTTACCCAGATCTTTGCCAACACCGCCTCCGATACCTCCAGGCAGGGATCCCTGTGGGATGTGGCGAGAGGCATTTGAGGGGCCCCTCAGGACATGTTCTCCCTGTCCCCCCAACTTATTCCTGCCCACAAGTGTCTGGCAACAGATCTACAGGATTTGACCTAAGGTGGTGCTTTTGAGGTGTGACTGCAAAACTAGTTTCCCCAAAAGTCAAAACCCTGGCAGGAGTTTCCAGAAGGGCCCGAGAGAGACCCACCGGCTGCGTCCCGGACTCACCCCAGATCCCACCAGAAGGGATTCCTCAATCTCAAATCCTGCATAATTCCATCCGTTATTTTTTAAACCCATTCCATCATGGAGAATTTCCACCACAGAATGGTGGGCACCTGCGGTTTGCTTCGTCTCCCAACGTCCCACCAGTTTTGTACGCCGTTTAGTGGCCGGACCCTTTGTCTGAATGCCCAAAGATCCTGCCAGCCCCTGGCTCCTTTCGAATCCTTACGCAACCTCTGAAGGGTCACACTTTTCCCTCCAGGAGCGGCTCAGCATATGGCTGACCACACCTCAGTGCTGCCATCGGGTGACCCCCAGCCCACAAAGGACGCTGCTCCCTGGACGGTTTGCCCCACGTGGCTTTCAGACTCCAGTCGTGGGCAAGGGTGGGGCTTTGCAACCCCCGGGGTGTCCAAATTGGGATTTTACAGAATATGTAGGTGGTCCTTCAACAGATGTCCTTCGACCACGGACCGAGCTGAAAACGCCGAAGCAGGTTGAATGGGGGGCAGTAATTGCTAAAATCCAAGAGAAACACTCCCTGGCTCAGTTGGGACTGTGGTAACCTACCGTATTTTTCGGACTATAAGACGCACCGGTGTATAAGACACACCAGGATTTCGAAGAGGGAAGTTTTTGGCCGCCTCGGACCCTCAGGAGGATCCTGCAGGCTTCAGCAGGGCAAAAACGGGGACGTGCTTATCGTTTGCCAGTGCCCAAAATATCACCCTGCAAGCCAGCATTATGCCCAACACATTATGCACTAACAGGAAGACAAAGTTGAGGGTTCATGAACTCTGTTCATCACGCTTAACTGGGTTATGAATAACTTGCGCCACCTGCTGATAATTCCGCGCGGTATATAACAACGCCATGTTTACCCATCACTGTTTCTTTGTCATTATCTCCACCTTTGTCAACGGGAATGATGGCAAAGGAAGTGCGGCAAGTAACATCACAGGGGTCGCAAACTCAAGGCCCCTGTGAACAGGATCCGGCCAACAGTGTGCTTAGATCCGGCCTTGGAAACAGCGAAGGACTGGCCCGTGTTGCCTCTGCGCGGTGCTCCCGAGCTCCGTTTTAGGCTGTGACGGCCTCCTGCAGCCCTCTGCCAACAAAAACTGAGCAATCCCGGGGTCACGTGATCAAAACTTGGACGCTTGGCAACGGACTCATACTTACGACAGCCAGTGTGCCATGATCCCCTTTGTGACCTTCAGACAAGCTAAGTCCATGGGGGGGGGGGAGCAGATTCACTTAACAACCGTGTTACTAACTCAACTGCAGGAATTCACTTAACAACAGAAGCAAGAAAGGGGGTGAAATGGGAGCAAACTCACTTACAGACTGTCTCGCTTAGCAACATAAATTTTGGGCTCTATTGTCATTAGTCAAGGACCACCTATGTCCTCCAGAGGTCTCATTTTTCTCGTAATTATGTCCAAGATAGGATCATTTGGGCCTGGCGATTGGTCCCTCCAGACAAATTGGCTCAAGAATGGAGAAATTTCCCTGACAGAGCAATTAACCGGTGGAACAGCTTGCCACCAGAAGTTGCGAAGGGATGGACCCTGAAGGATTTTAAGAAGAGGTTGGAGACCCATTTGTCTGAAATGGGACAGGATTTCCTGCCTGAGCAGGGGGTTGGACTAGAAGACCTCCAAGGTCCCTTCTGTTATTCTGTTCTGTGTTTGACAAGAGCCATCGCATTTCCCATTACATCAACCCATAAGCTAAGCTAGGTTTGTAGGAGGTTACTAAGCACCCAACCTAACTTGGCTAAAACCAAGATGCACAAAGTGTGTGCACAGGTAGATCCTGCGTCTCTTTTACAATCCAGTTGCAACCCTCTCTTTCGTGCATTCCTCTCCCGCCCCGCCCTGCATCTGGACATTCCTTCCAGAGCTCCAGAAAATCTCGGAGACAGACCCAGTTCTAGATTCCGTTTCTAGAAACCCTGAATGCTGGCTATTCCACTGTCCCATGTTTGAAAACACATCCCGTGTTTTCCTTTCCCGTCTCTTACCTGATCCTCCCCCACCTGCTGAAGACTTCCTTGCTGTGGATGGATTCCTTTATAAGACACAGTTCAAAAACAAACCATGGTTTGAAGCGGATTCCGATTGCTGCACCCTCTAGAAATTAAGAGGCTAGCTCACAGGGGAAACAAATGGTCTATGGAGAGGCCGGTCATTTCCTTAGGCCGCGGTTTATCCAAAGGGGGGGGGGGTTGAACTGGATAGCCTTAAGGGGACCCCTTCCATAAAGAGTAAGCTTAGCTACTGCAAGGCACTTTTGAAACCTCGTGGTCTTCTCTTCAAGACCCTTTCAAAGTCCCCCACCCCTTCAACCCTCCGAAAAGTAGGTGCACGCAATTCCCCCCCCCAAAAATCATTAAATTTTAACACATTGGCTTCCTGCATCGTTCCTTTTTAAAAACCAAGTCTTTTATTAAAAGTCTTATCCAAATTCCATTAACAAAAAGGAGATATATAAAAGAGGGCCCAAAATTCCAAAGGGGTGGGTGGGTTGGGTGGGAGATATGATTAATGGGTTAGGTTTCTTTTTTTTTTTACCAAATCTGTGCTGAAATTTTTTTTTTAAAACTAGGGGCTAAAAAATCCCAACCATCATCGGCCAGGAAGGTGGGGGGGGAAGTGAGGGAGCGTCGAACCGCAGCTCTGAACGTGGGAAGTTTGTGCCCAAAGTGTTTTTTCCTAGCCACAAAAACTAAAATTACAATTTTTTTTTTTAAAAAGCAGGGCTTTACAAACTGCAGAATTCTTTTTTTTAAAGTATGCATTTTTTTTTTGCAACTTTGTGTTGCATTTTGCTAGACTGTTGATGCAAAGGCTCCCCCCTCCCCACCTTTGCCAGCTTCCTGTTGTGGGGCTGGCCATGGGTGGACTCGTGCCCCACACTTGTCTGGAGCATGCCTATTTGGGGGCGGAGGGGGGGCACAGCTGAACTCCTCCCTCTGGGCTCGTGGTGGCGGCGGGCGGGTGAGTGGGGCACAGATCAGCAAGGAATAAATCGCAGAAGCAGACAACCGAATTAAAAACAAAACATCACGGCAAGCGACCCACAATCCACGCGTAAAACACTTCGGCAACACCGCCGCAGAGCCACAGAGAGAGGACGGTCCCACATCCGGAACTCACGCCGAGGGCCACAGCTGCACCATGCACCTCGCTCGGCCTTGTTTCCAGAAGGGTGCATCTTCAGACTCCGGGGCAGAGTGGGAGGGGCCATAGCAGACTTGACTCCACCCCCACCCACCCCAGCCAGAAATCGCCAGGAGTGTCCAAACGCATCCGGGTTCAGGGCGGTGGGGAAAGCCAAATTGCTTGCAGATTTGAGTAAATCTGCCCTTGCATCGCTAAGCCTTTGGTCGCAAATACCTCATATCTGGGGGTGGGCGGGGGTGTCATAGCACATGGGGAGGGGGGGCGTTGGCAAGAGAGGCAAGAGAAAGCTAACCCCCCAAAACAAAACGAAAATTCCAACTTCTCCTGAAACACCTATCCTTTTCTACATCTTTTAAAAAAATATATATTGTGGGTGTTTGCAGCCGTACAAAAGAGCGGAGGAGGGGAGGGGCGGCAGGAGAGGGGGAAGGGGATTCGTCACAGTTCTCACAAAGGTGTGGGGGGGAGGGGAACGGTGAGAGGCCGGGAAAGTCACACAGTCCGCCAAAAAAAAAACACGGATCGGCCTGCAAAGGAGCCGAGGAGGAGGAGGAGGAAGAGGCGGCGGCAGGGACTCCTCAGTCGTCGTTTTCTTCATCCTCGTCGTCGTCCGGGTCTTCCTCGGGGTCTCGTTTCCGCTTCTCGCCCTGCTGGACCTCTGGAAAGGAAAGGAGACCACAGAGAGGGGGGTGATAGGGTCGGATGAGGCAGACAACCGGCATATCCCCATCCAATCCGAGACCGCGATTCTCAGGCACCAAAGTCAGAACAAGATACCCACCGGCTTCTTCATCCTCGTCCTCGTCTTCATCTACGTCATCATCATCATCTTCATCCTGAAAGAGGACGGGGCATTTTTGAGGGGAAAAAAATATTTTTAGGAGGATTATCAGTAGTTCTCCTGGTGGAATTCTTGGACCAGATTCTTTCATCACAACAAATCTTGTTAAAAAGAAGTTTGCGAATCTCAGCAAAGCTGAGATTCGCAGACTTCTTTTTAACAAGATTTGTTAGGATGAAAGCAGTAGCTTTGGTGGCTGCCTCGGCCTAGCAGTCTTGCCGTACAAACCCACCCCACCCCGACATAGACAATTGCGCAGAAAGTGAGATTTTACGACTCACCTCGTCATCTCCCCCGTTCTCCTCGTCTTCGCCATCCAAGTCTTCTTCGTCGTCTAATTCGTCTTCCTCCTCTTCCTCATCCTCTTCATCTTCTACAAGGAAAAGACATCCCCTGGCATCAGAGACTGGTTCACAACCCCGGGCAGTCCTCAACGTACGAACAGTTCATTTACTGACAGTTCAAAGTTATGGCAAGATCCACGTGGCCAAAGTTCAGACGGTTGGCAATCGATTCACATTTATGACGGTCATCTGCCATCACGCAAATGCCTTTTTTGACCCTCTGACACATGTTGTTAACTTAACAACATCATCAGTGATTCACGTAGTAACTGTGGCAGGGAAGGTCGTAAAATGGGGCAAAACTTGCTTAGCTAATGTCTCAGTTATAAAAATTTTGGGCTTCAACAATAACAGAATAATAAGAGTTGGATGAACGGAGAGCAGAGGCGATTCCTAGAATCAGGCTCCTAGGCTAGGGGAGGAGTCTGTGAATTAAACTCTTGAGGTCAAGGGGACCCCCTAGAAATCTTGATTTTGCCACAGGGCGCAGGACTTCTGCCGATTACCTCCCTCCGTCCCATCAGATCGCACAGATTGGGCCTCCTCCGAATTCCATCNAGAACAGAAGTTGGAAGGGACCTTGGAGGTCTTCTAGCTCAACCCCCTGCCTAGGAAACCCTACAACACTTCAAAGGGCTGTCCAGCATCTTCCCCTACCTGTGGTCCCATTGGCAGGCGCTTGACCACTGGTTCCTATTTATGATGCTTGCAGAGTGTGTGCGTGTCCACACAACCCCAGCCTGTTCTGCAACCTTCTGATAAGCCAAGTCCATTGGGGTGGGGTGGGGGGCAGAAGCCAGAGATTGACTTAACTCATCAACTGCAGCGATTCACTTAAAAACTGGGCCATAATGTCTTTCTTAACAACAGAAATCCTGGCCTCAATTCTGCCAGGCAACTTTATAGGGCGGCCTTCTCAGAGGACGACAATCCTGTGCCAGCCTCATTGCAAATAAAGGGGTCAGTTCAATCCCCCCACCCCCAAACAAGGGCAGCAGAAGCAAGAGATGATGCCCCCAGGGATGCCCCCTCCCCATTGTCATGAAAATGCAGCCATCCTGCCCTCCGGGGTCTCTTGTGCAGAAGGGAAAGCAGCCCTGTGGCAGGCTTGCAAGGGCATCAATCCTTCCCTTCCCCACCATCTAGAGTCAGAGTGGAGGAAGCTTTCTTGGGTGAGAAGCAAAACGTCTTCAAAAGAAAAAAAGCAAGAGGAAAAAATAATCACCTTTGGGACCACCAGGGCTTGGATGGCTGAGAATCTCCCGAGATTTATTAGCTGCACAATTTGGGACGGGCACCCTTGGAATGGTGGTGGTGGGAGGAAGAATGGATTTCCAAAGGGAAAAAACACTGCAGACTACAGGAACCATGTGCCCCCCTTATCTCCTGCACAGATAAGCCTCCAAGTGGCCTCAACGACCCTCTAAAAGGATGCAAATGACCAGCTTTGTCTGCAAGGAGAATAAATCCTCCCCTTCCCTCCACATCCGGTCAGAGTGGAGGAAGCAAAAGGCCTTGAGAGGAAACACCAAGGAAGGAGAAGAAAAGAGAGAGAGAGAGAAAGAGAGAGAGGAAGCCCTGGAGGGCTGAGACTCCCCAGAGACTACAAGCCCCAGAATTCCTCGCGGGGATTGGACGGGGAGAAGAGAGAAGCCATGATCGCCGCCCGGCTAGGCGGCTTTTGCAGCAACAGCAGGAGGGAGGGCGGGCCGCCCGGGGCTCCTTTGCAAGCCCTTTCAGGTTCATCTGGGGCTCCGAGCCCCACACAAGCCGCGCCCCGTTACGATTCCAGCCCCCCCCACCTTGCCAGGGCAGGAGGCTCTTGCAAGGAGGCGCCCGCGGGCGGACTCCCAAGCCGGGGCTTTGAAGGGAGGGGGGAGAGTAAAGATTTCCCCTTCCAGCCGCTGAACCTGGGGAGGGAAGGGGCGCCCCTT